GATTCGGCATGACGCAAGGAATCCATAGATACCACAATTATGAATTTCTGACAAACTGTTGAAAAGTTATTGGCCAAAATAGCAATTTGTCATATCTCATGACCCGTAGGTGGCGCTATTCCCAACTTTGGCATGGGACCTCAGAACATGCTTCCGATGAAGTGTACCAATTTTCGTTTTGATTGATCAAACTTTGGCCGAGATACAGCCTCTTAGCCAATTTTGGGTGGACCTTGTTAAGTTTGCGACATTATAACTTTTTTTTTCCAGTATAACAAAAAAATCGGGAACAGTACTTTTATGCGGCTCAGTCTGAAGATCATTTGAGTGCATGTTTGGAGAAAATTGGACAAAATTTGAAGGAGGAGTAGCGAAATAACTGAATACTGTACATTTCAAAATGGCCACTACTGTAATGGGCGGGGTCTTAATGTAAGGTATTGGTTGTGATCAACATGATGAGAGGAATCAGGTGTACCAAGTTTCATGTCTCTAGATCAAAGGGTTCAAAAGTTATAACAATTTCAATGTTACAATTTTGAACTGGTGGTGGCGCTATAGAGTTGGTCCTAGAGGGTCAAAAATTGGTCCAATTACTATTCATTAGCATCACTACAAGTGTGCCAAATTTCATCATTTTCCTATGTACGGTTCATAGGGCTGCCATAGACTTCCATTTGCGGAAGAAGAAGAAGAAGAAGAATAATAATAAATATAGCTGCAAGCAGCAACACGGGGCCAAGCCCTGCAAGGCACCGCAATTAGAACAATTACAGCAAAGTTCAAAGGCTTGGCACCGCAATTAGAACAAGTACAGCAAAGTTCAAAGGCTTGGCACCGCAAGCAGAACAAGTACTGCAAACTGCAAGTACAGCAAGCACAGCAAGCATAGCAAATACAGCAAGCACAACAAGTACAGCAAGTACAGCAAGCACAGCAAGTACAGCAGCGCATCAAGCATTTAAGCACCAACAGCAGAGCAGAGCCAGAAGGAATTGAAATGACAACTTTATACAGAATTTTAAAGTCGTCCCACATGGGACTCGAACCCACGACCAGAATGGTTCGGGATTCGAGATGCATGGTTTAGCTGATTGCACCACTCAGAGGACATGAATTTCAAAACAGCAGAGGAGAGGGTTCAGTGTGAGAATGAGTTCACAAAAAAGTTCCATGACATGTTATCCAGATTTGCATGCTAAGCTAGCGCAATGCTAATATATCTTATGGTTAGCCTGATATGTAAAGAGCCACAATGTATTGTTCAACTATAATGTTCTGCTGTAACGTCACTGTGATTTTTTGAAAAAAAAAACTGCTCAAATGTAGCTCAAAACTAATATAGTTATTTAAATATCTCATGACCTGTACGGGGTGCTATTCCTTAATTTAGAATGGTCCCTCATATCATTTTGCAATGAAGGGCAAGGGTTAGTCTCTGAAGCAATTTTGGGTTGACCTTGTTAAAGTTGTGACATCATAATTATTGAATGAAGATAAACATAAATATACGTTTCTGTGTTGCTCAGATGGAAGATCATCTGCTCTATTTTTTGTAGGAATTTATCTAACGTTGAATGAGAAGTAGCAAAGAACTGAAAACTGTACTTTTTCTAAATGTGCAGTAATGTAAAGGGTTAAGTCTTAATGCTTTTTATTGTTTGCAATCACCTTAATGAGAGGAATACTTTTTGTAGTGTGGTCATGTGCCACACGGGATTTGAACCCATGATCAAGAAGGGCTCAGGGTTTGTAGCATGTGGGTCAACAGCTCACACCACTCAGAGGATGCTGAAATGGAACGCTGCAGAGGAGAGGCTTCAGTGTAAAAATAATAATTATTAATGATTGGTTAAGTGGTGTAATTAGTGTAATGCAATTAGTGTAATTAAGTGGAGTAATTAGTGAGGTTTATAAGGCTGGCAAACAAGGAGACTTGTTTCTGTGTTTCTTGACAAGGTGAGTTTAAGCAGGTCATAGATTAAGCAATCTCATTTGAAATTATATCAGTGTGCTGTTCCAATTCTTCTGTATGAAACTAAGAGTTAGGTTGTTGAAAGTATTTTAGACATCTTAATTGTGTGTGTTTTGAATGAATGTTGACAAAATGGCTGCTCTCATGAAGGGCTGCCACATGCTTTCTACAAACATTTAATATTAATAGCCCTGTTCATGCTAAAAAGTATGCAATGGTGATAGTGCTTTAAATAAGTTTGGTTAAAAAGTTTAGCACAATTTTAATGTAAATTTTTTACATTACTTTGTTAAAGTATGTTGAATTTTGAAATTGAATAGGCACGTGATGTTGATTTTGGACAAACTATTTATTTAATGTTTGTGCAGGTGCACTGCACATGTCTGCTACAATTAATACTTGGTTAATAAGACAATCTGAATGTTTGTTTAATAATATAACTTAATGTCTGTTTTATAATAATGATAATAATAAACTAGACAAAGTTCGTCGAGACAAATTTTAAGTTGGCTTGTGAAAGTTTGGAACAGAAAGTTTTAAGTTAAAGTTAGTTTATAGTTTAAATTAGTTTAAAGTTTAAAGTAGTTTATAGTGTAAATTAGTTTATAGTTTAAAATAGTCTAAATTTTAAATTAGTTTGAATTTTAAAGTAGTTTAAAGTTAAATTAGTTTAAATTAGTCTAAAGTTTAAATTAGTTTGAAATTTAACAGTTTAAAGTGTAAAAGTATAGTTTCAAGTAATTTAAAGTTGCTACAGTGTTTCTAGTGGGTTGCTAAGGTGTTCTGGATGGTTGCTAGGGTGTTGCTAGGGTGTTGCTAGGGTGTTGCTAGGGTGTTGCTAGGGTGTTGCTAGGGTGTTGCTAGGGTGTTGCTAGGGTGTTGCTAGGGTGTTGCTAGGGTGTTGCTAGGGTGTTGCTAGGTGGTTGCTAGGAGGTTTTGGGTGGTTTCTAGGGTATTGCTAGGCGGTTGCTAGGGTGTTCTGGGTTGTTGCTATGGTGTTAAGCGGTTGGTAGGGTATTCTGTGTGGTTGCTATGGTGTTGCTAGGGGGTTGATAGGGTGTTCTGGGTGGTTGCTATGGTGTTACTAGGCAGTTGCATGTCATGGGCTGTCCTACACCATAGTAAGTCAACTTTGGGCTGCTCCTGCCCCCCAGGGGTGCAACTTTTACTCCACTGTGAGGTATTTTCTTACAGAGCCTGTCAGCCTTTTCAAATGTGGTATATTACAAGTTTCTGAGAAATCATCGCTATTTAGTACGGCCTACAGTTGCTAGGGTGCTGTAACTGGTTGCTATGGTGTGTGAATTTAGAGTTTATGAGTTTAAATGAGTAAGTGTCCAGAGTTTATTAATTTATGAGTTTAATAGTTTTATGAGAGTTTATAAGAGTATGAGTTTATGAATTTAGAGTTTATGAGCTAGAGTTTATAAGTTTAAATGAGTCTAAGAGTTCGGGTTTAGAGTTTATTAATTTATTATGAGTTTAAGAGTTTAAGATTAGATAGATAAGTGTCATATATAGACAGGGGCGTAGAATTTAGTAGGGACGCTAGGGACGTGTCCCTACCAATATCCAGTGACACTGATATATCCCTAGCAATAATTTCGATCAAAACTTAAAATATATTTATAAATTGATTAGGGCAGGGCAAAAAAAATAGATTTTTCGATTAATCGTTTTTTAAAATGTGGTCGATTCAAAATCGATTCTTTCTATTTTTTTCCATATTAAGGACTCGCGGTGGTGCTGCGTCTTCTCTCTCTGCACTAGGCAAGCGCTGAATATTCACTTGCACAATCGGGCCAGCATTGCACCGTAACTAAAGTTTATCATTGATTTTACCAGTTTAAACATTCAAGCAATGTTAAACCATGCTGTGCTCGCGCACTCTCAGAGATGTCTTTCACTGCGTGCACGTTAATAAAGCCTAAATCCGCCTCACAAACAGCTCGCCAGAAACAAAAGTTTTATCACTGGATTATATCGCTTTACTGTAACAGTTAAAAACACGCAAAATTATGTCAATACTGTCTTGGTTAGTAACCTCGTAAAGACAGTCGGTTATGTCTTAAATTAGCATCAAAATCCTGTCCATTCATTGTATGCATTTAGTGTATAAGCCAGTGTACCTAAAATAAAGAGTTTTACTGTGTATACAGGTTTGTGGCTCTTAATTTATTTGTATTAATTAACCACTAGTAAACTTATGTCCACTGTTCTTTTTTTTTTTTTTTTTATAAATATAGGATTTGTATTACATCTATATTCATTATAGTCAAAGAATATAATCAAGAATCAAATCAGGAATCAAGAATCGAAATTGAAAATCGAATCGAGAATCAAAATTGAATCAATCTGAGAGCTTTCGAATCGAAATTGAACATGTGAATCGATACCCAGCCCTAAAATTGATGTCCCCGTCCCCACCAATTTCAAAATCAAACCTACGCCTCTGTATATAGATGAGTGTATTAGTTTAAATGAGTCTCAATAGCTCATATAGTGTATAGAATGGCAGTTTGATTGAGTCTAGGGCTTCAAAGTATTTAGATTTGAATTTTTGACAGTTGGGCAGTTTGAAAATCTGAAGATTCCACAATGTTAAGTCAATGGGTTTTAGGAAAACCGTAAGTCCGATCAGTCTGAAAAACTCGAGTCAGAACAGTTTGAGTGTCCGTGCCGAGTTTGGAGTATGTGAAGTTAAAGCTCTAGGAGGAGTAGTAGTAAGAAATTTAAGTCTCAGAAAAAGAATACTAATAATATTAAGTTTAAATAGCATTTCAGTAAGTTGACTTTCACAAGCCAAATTAAATATATATTTATATGTATATTCACATACGTGCATATCAAATATTTTAATTATCTTAATTAAATGCTTATTGATTTCAGAATTGTTATATTTCTATGTGAAAATGGCTAGAAAATCATTATAGTGTAATGCAGTGAAATATTTTTGGGTGTTTTGTAAAACTGGCAACTTGAGTTACGCAAGTATACATAAAAATCTTTTTGTTTATATTTACAGATGCCACGACCTAAGAAAAGGGCCCGCATAGCCAAGAGGCTTGCACAACGGTGTGCAAATACAGAGGTTCCGCCGCTTCCTCTTAAAAAAATGGCAGAGGCTGCACCACTTCCTCTTAAAAAAGGGCAAACAGAGGCTGCACCGCTTCCTCTTAAAACAAGTCAGGCAGAGGCTGCACAGCTCCCTCTTAAAACAAGTCGAGCCGAGGTTTTGCGGCTTCCTCGTAAAAAAATGGCTGAAAACAAAAATTCTGACAAAAATTCTGACAAAAATTCTGACAAAAACTCTGCTTCAAGCTCTGCTTCAAACTCTTTCAAAAACCCAGTCAAAAACCCAGTCAAAAACCCGTCAAAAACCCAGTTACCTCCACAGAACTCTGAACAAAACTTTAAAATGTACAGAACTTTACATGAAAATGCTTTGAATACTTTACCTGCATGTGTTGAATTTCTACAGAAACCATTACTGAAAGGTTCCTTTCATCAAGGTGATGCCCGCTTTGGAAATTCACGTGGCAGACAGTGTGGTGCCATCAGTCTGATAGCAGTGTTGATGAGCAAGATGAAGAACGTGTTGACCTGGACAACACAAGATCTCAATGGTGTATTGGTTGCAGGAACACGCCTTTATGAATCTTTACGAAACCAGGGTAACATAAATGACCGGGAAGTCATGGGTAGGCATTACATTGCTGTCCATGAATTACCAAGGAGACATGTGCTGGGTAATACTGTCTTTTCCATAGAATATGCAGAGTCTCTCACTGGATTTGTTAATGTTGATGACTATGATGAATCCTTAAGGAATGTGGCCATGCCAGTTGATGTAGCTCTTCAGCGAGCTCTATTGAGTGCTGATGCTTTCCTTTTATGTATTTGTGCCAACACATGTGCAGTTATTAAGGAGGGCTCATGGTATGCCTTTGTTGATTCTCATGCTAACATGACAGAGACAAGTTGTGTTGCTTATCACAGCACCATAGAATCTTTGTATAACTACATTAATGAGATGGCACAGTCATTTGGGGTAATTGCGCCACGATTTGAGATAACTGGAGTTTTTGCTCATGCAGATGCTGAAGTTTCTCACTCGCTGGAGGCAGACCGCAGCAGTTTTCCATGCTCTTCTGGTAAAGCACTTTACAGTGAAGTTCTAAAACGCAAACCTAAGGTATGCAAATCTGTGACGACTGAGGTAAGGTCATCTGTCTTTCAATCACCTGAGGCTGAAGTTCAAAATACAAGCACTGATGTTCCCATGCCACAACCAGTGTGTAATGTGTTGCCGAGTAAAGGAAAAAGGGGGAGAAGTAAAAATCAGTATGAACTATCAGAGAAATGGGTTACGAAGTCCCACTCGCTGGAGGCAGACCGCAGCAGTTTTCCATGCTCTTCTGGTAAAGCACTTTACAGTGAAGTCTTAAAACGCAAACCTAAGGTATGCAAATCTGTGACGACTGAGGTAAGGTCACCTGACTTTCAATTACCTGAGGTTGAAGTTCAAAATACAAGCAATAATGTTCCCATGCCACAGCCGGTGTGTAATGTATTGCCGAGTAAAGGAAAAAGGGGGAGAAGAAAAAAGCAGGATGAGCAGGTCTCTGAGAAACGGGTTAAAAAATCTCATGTTGAAAATGTTGTAGTAGATGACATAATTATTACTGATGTTTCAATTCCAGAAGTATTTTTTTCTCCATTGACTCATAGAGATCAGCAAGCTTTATGTGAACTCTTGCTTCTTACAAATGATAACAGTGACTGTGATGTTACAACAAACTTTGGTCCCATTGCAGGTCCGTGTCAGACAAAGAGTATCAAACCAGATGGTAACTGCTTTTTCAGATCACTGGCATATGCAATTTGTGGAAGTGAGGACAAGCATTTGAAGATTCGCCGTGCAGTTGTCAAACACCTGAAAATGAACCCTTCAATATTTGAGAGGTATGTGAGAAGTGAGTATACTTCAGTAGAGGACTACTTGAAACAATCTAGAGTCTATTATTCTGGGTCATGGGTCACTGAAATTGACATATTTGCTTCTGCTGATCTATTTAAAACAACCATAATGACTTTTAATGATGGCCGGTGGAATGCACACAAACCTACTGGAGAGGTAATTGCAAACAATGCAATATATTTGAAAAACTGTAATGGTAATCATTATGAAGTTGTGACATGTGTCAAGCACAGAGGTCAAGACATTTGCGCAGGAAAGTGTGGGAATGCTACTTCAAATGAGGTGAGAATGCCATGTCTGCGTAAAAGGAAGGTAAGCGACGCTGCAGAATGTGACCAAGAGACCAAGAGACAGAAAAAATGGAAGTATGAGAAGTCCAAGTATGATAATGACATTGATTTCAGACAGAATAAAATTGACTATGCCAAAACAAAATACTGTGATGACATTGATTACAGGGAGAATAAAATTGACTATGCCAAAACAAAATATTGTGATGACACTGATTACAGGGAGAATAAAATTGACTATGCCAAAACAAAATATTGTGATGACACTGATTACAGGGAGAATAAAATTGACTATGCCAAAACAAAATACTCTAGTGATAAAGATTATAGACAGAAAAAAATGAAAGTTCTTCGTGATAAATATTTAAAAGATTATCATGTTTGTTTGTTTAAGTGTGAACGTTCTAAGGCCAAGTATTCAAGCAATATTCAGTTTCAGAAGCGTGTTTGCCAGTATTCTCGAATGAAATATAAAAATAATGTCTCATTTCAGGCAACTGTACGCGAGTATTCCAAGAAGAAATATCTTCAAAACCTGGACTTTAACGCAAGAGTACGTGAGTATTCCAAGAAGAAATATCTTCAAAACCTGGACTTTAAAGTAAGAGTGCGTGAGTATTCTAAGACAAAATATCACAAAGATGTAAACTTTCATTTCAGTAAAATACAAAAAGGCTGTGAGGTATATGCAAAAAAAAGGGAAAAACAGAAAGACATTGGTGTTGCCATTGCTGGTTTTCGTCAAGAAGTGAGTAGAGGTCCAGAGTTTGTGTGCTGTGTTTGTCACCGTTTACTTTTCAGAAAGCAGGTTGCTGAATGCAAACCAGAATGCTATGAAGACAAAGGAGACAAAATTGCTGCTTTGGCAAGAAGATGCATCACCCTGAGGTATGTGCATGTTTGTGATGAAAAATGTCATAATACTTCTGGTTTTTCTCCAAGGTGCAAATTGTGGATTTGTCCAACCTGTCATCGAAAAATCATCAGTGGAAAACTGCCTGAAGAGAGTGTTGCTAACAATATGCATTTGGTGGACATTCCAAATCAACTAAAGTGTCTTAACTCTTTGGAACAACATCTTGTGGCACGTAATATTCCTTTTTTGAAATTACTCTGTCTTCCCCGTGGAAAACAAAATGGCTGCCATGGACCGGTGGTGTGTGTTCCTGTAAATACTGCAGATGTGTCAAATATTCTTCCACGAAATGAATGTGATGACAAGATGATAAGGATAAAACTGAAGCGCAAGTTAACCTACAAAGGGCATTATGAGTACAAGCATGTTCACACTGATCGTGTTAGAAATGCTCTGCGACGTTTGATCAGGTGCAATAAATGGTACAAGGATGTGGAGATTAATGAACAATGGATCAACTCTTTGAATGAACCAGAAGAGAATGTTGCTGAAGAAATGGAGGAACAAGCTGAAGTTGAAAAGAGTGAAGAGGAAAATGATACTGAAGAACAGCCAGAGGAAGACTTGACTTACATCAAAGAGCAGAGTGGTCTTTTGTCAGACACATGTTTACAACCTGTCGATCTTGGTTCAGAAGTAATTGATCAGCACTTTCAAGATGTATTAAATGTGGCACCAGCTGAAGGTAACAGTCCTGTTAAATTACTGTCTGATAAAAGCAATGAAGCAAAATGTTTTCCTGTTCTCTTTCCAACTGGTGGTCCAACATTCCATGATGAGAGAGAAAGAAAGATCACACTGTCACGATACTTGAATGCAAGAATCCTCAACGCAGATGGACGTTTTGCACGGAGTACAGACTTTATTTTCTATGCACAATACATGTCGGAGTTGGATCAAATTGTATCTAATGTTTCTATTGCTTTGCGAAAAGGGTCGGACAAGAGGTTGTTGCAAGGAGTAACCTCGGATATGCTGACAAACCCAGAGTCGTTAGCTAAAATATTGAATTATGATGAAGGATACAAATTTTTGAGACCAGTCCGTGGAACGCCACCCTATTGGCAATCGACTCAAAAAGACCTTTTTGCTCTCATAAGACAACTAGGTATTCCAACTTTCTTTGCATCCTTTAGCTCTGCTGATCTCAGATGGCCTGAAATGATCAACACCATCCTGGAGCAAGAACAGAAAAATGTCAGTGTTGATGAGCTTGACTGGTCTGAGAAATGTGGACTAATTCGACGAAACCCAGTCACTGCTGCAAGGATGTTTGATTATAGATGGCATTGTTTTTTGAAGGATGTCATTATGTCACCTGCTCAACCTATTGGAAAGATCAAAGACTACTTCTATCGTGTAGAGTTTCAACAGCGTGGATCTCCTCATGTTCATTGTCTGTTTTGGGTTGAAAATGCTCCAAAGTTAAATGAAGACAACGAAGACAGTGATGCTGTGGTTGCTGCTTTCATAGATCATTATATCACTTGTGAGACACCAGGAGATGATGACGCAGAACTTTATGAGACTGTGAACAGTGTTCAAAAGCACAGCAGAAGACATTCCAAGACATGCCGGAAGAAAAACACAGTGTGTAGATTTAATTTTCCACGGCCTCCATCTAGCCGCACCTTTATAACAAGAGCTGTACGAGATGACTTGAAAGGCAATGATGGAAATGAGACTGCAAGTGCAATTCTGAAGAAAATCAAAACTGCGTTAACAGAATCTGAAGTCAATTTTGATTCAACAGATGCCTTTTTCCAATCCATTGGAATTAATCAAGCTGTGTTTGAGAAGGCGTACAAGAAATGTTCTAAAAAGAAAAGTGTCGTCTTGAAACGAAGTCCAAAAGATGTTTGGGTAAATCAATATAACCCTCATTTATTGCGTGCATGGCAAGGCAACATGGATATCCAGTATGTCACAGATGCTTACTCTGTAGTGGTTTATATTATTAGTTACATCACAAAAGCAGAACAAGAAATGGGACTGTTGTTGCAACGTGCACAAAATGAAGCTATGAATGGAAATCTTGAAGCAAGATCATCATTAAAAATGTTGGGAAGTGTATATCTACACAACAGAGAAGTTTCAGCACAAGAGGCAGTGTATCGCCTAACAGGTATGCACTTGAAAGAATGCTCTCGCAAAGTCCAATTTATTCCAATTGGAACTGATCCTGTGAAGATGAGTTTGCCTTTGCGTGTTCTCCAAAACAAAGATGACCATTCTGGTGAAGAGAATTTTTGGATGAATAGTTTGGTTGACCGATACAAGAGTAGACCAAAAACAGAACATTTTGAGATTCTGTGTCTGGGCAGTTTTTGTTCAGAATACAGGATATTGTCAACATCTGAGCTATCTTCACAAAACAAAGAAAATGTGATCAAGCTTGACAACAATTGTGGTTATATGATAAGAAGAACTCGAACTGAACCTGCAGTAATAAGGTATCCAAGATTTTCACCAACAAAAGATCCTGAGAAGTACTATCATTCACTGTTACAACTTTTTTTACCACATTATGAAGATTACCAGCTGAAGCCTGAGAAGTTCCACACTTATGAGGATTTCTACAACAATGGTGCTGTGAAATGTGGAAGTAATGTGACTGAAGTAAAATCTATTGTTGATTCTAATCGAGCACTGTTTGAAAAGGACAGCGATGAAATAGACCGAGCTCAACAGGTTTTGGAGCTGGGTGTTGATTTGGAAGATGCTTGGGCTGCATTGTGTCCTGAAACAGAGAAGGAGCGCCATGAATGTATCGAGCTAAAGAAGAATAACGTACTTCCTGAAGAAGATGATTCTGACACACTTATTCCAGATCTTGTAGCGAACCCTCGAACTGCATTCACAATTGAGAACAGTAATGCTACAATGTCTCGAGATGAAGCATTGGGTTTACTAAGATCATTAAATGCTAAACAGTCTGCAATATTTTACAAAGTTCGCGACTGGTGTTTACAAAAACTGCATGGAGAAAATCCTGAACCGTTTCGCTTGTTTGTTACTGGTGGAGCAGGCACAGGAAAAAGCCATTTAATCAAAGCAATATGCTATGAATCTTCTAGACTCTTGTCTCAGCTGTCTGACAACCCTGATGAGCGGAGTGTGATTTTATGTGCATCAACTGGAGTAGCTGCATACAACATTGGCGCTGCTACCATACACCACACTTTTTCAATTGGTGCTAATGTCAAACTGCCATATCAACCACTAAGTGATGACAAAATCAATTCTCTGCGTTCCAAACTTGGATGTTTGCAGATTTTGATTATTGATGAAGTATCCATGGTTGACCATCACCTTTTGTCATATGTTCATGGGAGATTGAGACAAATCAAACAAACTGGTGATTACTCCCTCTTTGGAAAAGTAAGTCTTGTAGCTGTAGGAGATTTTTATCAGCTGCCGCCTGTCAAAGGAACTCCACTCTATGCTGATACAAAAGGAGTGAACCTTTGGGAAAACCACTTTGAAATTGCTGAATTAACTGAAGTTGTTCGGCAACAAGATGTAACTTTTGCTGAAACCTTAAATCGTCTGAGAGTTCGTAAAAAGAATGAACCTCTGAGCTCAGGTGACATCAACATGTTGAAGCAACGTGAAACAGGAGAAGAATGCGGTGATGTTCATATATTTCCTACAAATAAAGAGGTTGATGAATACAATATTCAGAGACTAAATGAGGTATGTCCTGAGGCAATCAGTATTCGAGCTCAAGACTTTGAGAGAAATCCAAAAACTGGAAGGATTGAAAAAAAAGTTGGATTTCATTTAACTGTTTTCAACTCCTGTTTGGCTAAATGTGTTTCCTTGGGTGTTGGAGCAAGAGTTATGTTAAAGAAAAATATTAATGTTTCGGATGGACTTGTGAATGGAGCCTTTGGTACAGTTGTCCATATTAACAGAAGTCAAAAACAGGACGATGATTATGATGATGACTTTCCATCAGCCATTCATGTGGAATTTGATGATCCAAATGTGGGAAAAATTCAGAGATCAAACCAACAACATAGATTTTCCCAAAATTCTACAGTAATTGAAGTTCAAGAAGATCAAGTCACAAACAACGGTGGATTAAGGCGCCAATTTCCACTTAGACTGGCATGGGCATGCACTGTTCACAAAGTCCAAGGGCTCACAGTAGATAAAGCTGTCGTATCCCTTGACAAGATCTTTACTTCAGGACAAGCATATGTTGCATTGAGTCGTGTGAGAACTCTCAATGGACTAATTATTCAAAACTTCAAGGAGTCTGTAATATACTGTAATGATCAAATTGACTTGGCAATGAAAAATATACCAAAATTTCCATTAGAAAGTCACACTTTCTCAAAGACACCTGGTATATTTACAATTGCTCTTCAGAATGTGCAAAGTCTTCAAGCTCATGTTCAAGATATTCAAGCTCACAGACAACTTATGAATGCAGATTGTATTTGTTTAACTGAAACATGGCTACAAGTTGAAGACCAAGTACAAATACCAGGATTTATTTTCAAGCATAATCCAAGAGCTAAGTGCTATGACAACAGCACTCCCCTTTTCAGTAATTTAAAACAACAGCGAGGAGGTGGGGTTGCTATCTACTGTTGTGAAAACATGTTTTTTAATGTCATCATTCCAGAACCTTGCAATTTGGAATGTTTGTACTTCTCAGTTCCACATATCAGTTTGAATGCTGCTCTGCTGTACAGGCCTAATTCATATCAAATTGATGTGTTTCGACAAAATCTGTTACATGTCATTACTGAGCTGGAAAAACATCCAGGAAAGAAAGTAATTATGGGAGACTTCAATGAGGACATCTTAACATCATCTTCAATTGGGACACTAATGGAAGTCCATGGATACAGTCAACATGTGCAATGTCCTACAACTGAAAAGGGTACGTTAATAGACCATGTCTATATTAAAGATGCAGAAAATGTTACAATTGAAATTGTTTCAACTTACTATAGTTACCATGAAGCAATACTAGTTTCAGTAAGGTAATTGACATTTCTGACACATAATGAAGACTGTATAACTGCATTTTTCTTTTCTGTGCCCCTACCCTGCTACAATTAATCTGAGATTGAGGTCCATGAAGGTCTGTTCAAGTTCACAAGTGAAAACGGTATGTTATTAGACCATTTATTTCAAATCATTTCAATAAGAAACTGATTCATTTGTTGTAATTTCTGCAAGTCCACTAGTATGCTATCAAGAAAGGTTTACTCATGTAAGGTAATATGTCTGATTTATTCAGCACGCTGAACTAAGAAATGTATATAATTACACTGTCTATTCTGTTTTTGTTCGTACAATGTGACACATCTTGAGATTCCAAGGTCTATACAGTCCTGACCATTCCATACCAAGTTCTATCCATTGTTCATCGGGCACAAACCAGCACCTCCCATAATTGCTCTTCTTTCTGGAGCTCCAAAGCTACATCCAGTCAAGGTTTTTGTAGTTTTTATGCATTAAATTTGTGTTTGATTTTTCTTCATTTTAGACAATGGTTTTGGTTTTTAGCTGAATTTGTTTTTGATCTAATTCCTGCCAGTCTAAGCCATCCAAACAACACTGGATGCTTCCAATCAGCATAGGAAGCATCCACAAAGACTGCCTGCATTCCTACAGTTGTTTTATAAAATGCAATTAAGTTAATAGGATTACAAGAAAACATCTAAAAATGATCTAGAAAACTTCACATAGAAAGGTAAGTTGACATGATTGTGTACATTTTAATAGTTTAAAAAGAAAATATTTAAGGCAATATCAACTAACAATATAATTTCAGATTTATAAACTGTATGTTATCTTACCTTTTTGTCAGTAAAATTTTTTTTTTTAGATTTCTGAAACACTGAAGTCATAATTCCTCCATATACCCATCACAAGATTTTCTGCTCCATGAACTCCTCTATAGAAGCACACAAAATAAAAATAATATCTTTTTTGATCAGCTATGTCTGCAAAGCTTGAATGAAAGCATGTCAATTTCAGTTAACAGATTATCTACATTAATGGCAATATGTTTTTGTGTAAACTGCTTCACTTTCATCAAGCAGTTTGTTATATGTATGTAATCTCTGCAGATTTCTGAATGAACTGAAGTTATAATTTCCTCCATATGTCATCACAAGATTATCTGCACCATGAACTTTTATAAAGAATCGCACAACTATTAAGATAGTAAGTTTTATTGCAGTAAATTTAAGTTGTGGACATTTATACAAGCACTGATAATCTACTAATGGTACACTTTCAGATTTGTGCAGCAACTCTAACTACTGTTGATATTTTGAAGTCCACATATCCCTATACAAATGTCCACAAAAGGTAAGCTATCAGACCATGTCTATATTAGTTGTGAAATGTTTAATGTGAAGACTTCACTTATAGCACTTTGTTGAATGAATGTAATATTTTCAGATTTCTGAAATTCACCAAAGTCCTAACTTCCTCCATACATCCATCACAAGATTATCTGCACCATGAACTTTTATAAAGAAGCGCACAACTGATAAAACAGTACGTTTTATTAAAGTAAATTTAAGTTGACATTTATAAATGCACTGATTAATCTAATGGTACACTTTCAGGTTTGTGCAGCAACTCAATAACTACTGTTGATATTTTGAAGTCCACATATCCCTATACAAATGTCCACAAAAGGTAAGCTAACAGACCATGTCCATGTTAGTTATGAAATGTTTAATGTTAAGATTTCACTTATAGCACTTTGTTGAATGAATGTAATATTTTCAGATTTCTGAAATTCACCAAAGTCCTAACTTCCTCCATACATCCATCACAAGATTATCTGCACCATGAACTTTTATAAAGAATCACACAACTATTAAGACCGTAAGTTTTATTGAAGTAAATTAAGTTGTAGACATTTATACAAGCACTGATTAATCTACCAATGGTACACTTTCAGATTTGTGCAGCAACGCTAACTGCTGTTGATATTTTGAAGTCCACATATCCCTATACAAATGTCCACAAAAGGTAAGCTAACTAAACATTTCATAACTAACATGGACATGGTCTGTTAGCTTACCTTTTGTGGACATTTGTATAGGGATATGTGGACTTCAAAATATCAACAGTAGTTATTGAGTTGCTGCACAAACCTGAAAGTGTACCATTAGATTAATCAGTGCATTTATAAATGTCAACTTAAATTTACTTTAATAAAACGTACTGTTTTATCAGTTGTGCGCTTCTTTATAAAAGTTCATGGTGCAGATAATCTTGTGATGGATGTATGGAGGAAGTTAGGACTTTGGTGAATTTCAGAAATCTGAAAATATTACATTCATTCAACAAAGTGCTATAAGTGAAGTCTTAACATTAAACATTTCATAACTGACATGTTCTATGTTAAGATTTCACTTATAGCACTTTGTTGAATGAATGTAATATTTTCAGATTTCTGAAATTCACCGAAGTCATAATTTCCTCCATATACCCATCACAAGATTCTCTGCTCCTGAACTTTTATAAAGAAGCGCACAACTGATAAAACGGTAAGTTTTATTATTAAAGTAAATTTAAGTTGTGGACATTTATAAATGCACTGATTAATCTAATGGTACACTTTCAGGTTTGTGCAGCAACTCAATAACTACTGTTGATATTTTGAAGTCCACATATCCCTATACAAATGTCCACAAAAGGTAAGCTAACAGACCATGTCCATGTTAGTTATGACCATGTCCATGTTAGTTATGAAATGTTTAATGTTAAGATTTCACTTATAGCACTTTGTTGAATGAATGTAATATTTTCAGATTACTAAAATTCCCCCAAGTCATAATTTCCTCCATATACCCATCACAAGATCCTCTGCTCCATGAACTTTTATAAAGAAGCGCACAACTGATAAAATGGTAAGTTTTATTATTAAAGTAAATTTAAGTTGTGGACATTTATACAAGCACTGATTAATCTAATGGTACACTTTCAGATTTGTGCAGAAACTCGATAACTACTATTGATATTTTGAAGTCCACATATCCCTAAACAAATGTCCACAAACAGAAAGGTAACAGACCATGGCTATGTTAGTTGTGAAATGTTTAATGTGAAGACTTTACTTATAGCACTTTGTTCAATGAATGTAATATTTTCAGATATCTGAAATGCACTGAAGTCAAAACTTCCTCACATATACCAATCAAAAGATTGTATGCGGCATTAACTTCTCTAAAGTGTACAACTGATTAAAAAAAGTAATGTATAATGCATATATTCAAACTAGTTACTGAAAACATATCATTTTTGTGATTTGGTTTATTTCTTTTCCCCTTCTAGAAATAGTGACAACAACATTCTTCTGAACTATCAATTCAAAAAATGTTCTGAAAAAACTTTAAACCTATGCAGGCAGTCAATAGTCAATTGTTATTTTACAACTGAATACATAATCTCCACAGTAACAATGTTGAATGGATGGCTTGTATTACATTTGGCCTATGTATAGTTACTTTAATATGTGCCAGCCAAAAGAGGATGGCCTGCCCCTGCTGAGTCTGGTTCCTCTCAAGGTTTCTTCCTTTGCCACTACGCTGATTATGCTCCAGCCCTTGGTCCATGATGTTCCACACTGCTATCTATGGGAGTTTTTCCTTGCCACTGTCGCCTTTTTGGCTTGCTCACTGGGGTATTAAGGCACAACATGTTAAAGTAATAAAGATTTTTTTTTAATAAAATGAGTGAAATATACTTTGTCTCTGTAGCCATATACTTCATTTTAATGTCTTTGATTTTCTACTTGTATTAAATGGATGTAGACACTATATTTAGTATATGAATTGATTCTACAAACTTGGTGTCTTTTACAAAAAGTGCATCATAAAACAGCTTAGTGGATCGAGCATTTACATAATTTTCATTTAATTTGTAGTATGCTATAATTTTTTAACAGTTTTTATTTTGAAATATTAAAATTAGTAAGTGACTGTCTTCAGGACAACAGTTAAAATGTTGTCAAACTTGAATGTTTTAACTTTAAGTATTGTCAGTGGGCAAAGTTAAACTATTATATATGCATTTGTTTGGTTTAAAGCTTTATGTAGTTAACTTGAAATTTATAAAAGCCAGCCTAATTAAAAATAAATAAGTTTACTTAGACCATGACAAACATCCAATCACACCCTTCTACTCTCTAGCTCACTACACACAATACACAAAAGGAAATTGACATGACCATGAACACACAAAGGCAAAAAGTATTAATATGAAGAAAACTGCTTACATTGCAAGAATAGTAGATTGTCAAGGACCGCTATAGCAATCCTTTTTTTCACAAAACTTTCTGGATACTCGAGAATGAAAGAATGAACAATGTTTCTAAAACCAAAAGAAAGATTAAAACAATGCTTACCTGGATAATAAAGGAACAATTTTATAAAGTTGGACAGGACTCTACCTCACAATCTCTGGGTGATGTGACTGTTACTCATCTAGTAGGACCATTGGGGAAAATTGTTTTTTTTTTATATATATATGTTTTTTACCAAGATGCCAAAGTTCCATTAATCAAGTCAAGCATGAATCTTTATATGAATGTGCCACATCATATTCTAATGATTACTTTTCAGAAAGACACTATGTCTGTAACACAATGGTTTTGGCTCATGGCACATGGTTAAGCTTACGCTTAAGCTGCAGAGGATATGCTTCAGTGTAAGAATGAGCACACAATAAGCACACAAAAGAATTACTTGGCATCTCAACCAGTTAAGCATGCTAAGATCTCTTAATGCTAATGTAACTTATGGTTAGCTAATGTGGAGCCAGAAGAGAAAAAAGAGCAGAAATAGAATGTACATGAAGAAGAGATAGGTTCAGAAATACTTATGGATGAAATGAAAACAAGCTGCTGCAGCGCAATAGATTAGAACAATGCAGGAATCAACACAATTTTTATACTCATCCAACACAGGGTTCGAACCCACAATCGGAACGGCTCGGGATTTGTAACACATGGTTTAGCCGATTGCACCACTCAGAGGACGTGAATTTCAATGCAGCAGAGGAGAGGGTTCAGTGTGAGAATGAGTTCACCAAAAATTTCCACAAGCATGCTAAGCTAGCTTATTGCTAATTTAGCTTATGACGTGGTACATCCAATCCTGGCAAAATAGATATCATCGGATTCGACATGATGCAAGGAATCGATAGACACCAATTTTATGATTTTGTGACAAACTGTTCACAAGTTACAGCCTCTTAGCCAATTTTGGGTTGACCTTGTTAAATTTGTGACATCATAACTTTTTTATTACAGTATAGCAAAAAAATCGGGAACAGTACTTTTATGCGGCTCGGTCCGAAGATCATTTGAGCAAATTTTGGACAATTTTGGACAAATTTTGAAGGAGGAGTAGCGAAAAAACTGTTTTACATTTGCTCCAATATGGCGGCCAGTCACATTGTTGGAAAATGACAAATGAGATATCGTCTAAATCGGCATAAACCAAGGAACATAATGTCATAAAGAACTCAAAATTTGAACAATATTTTCAAATGTTATAAGCGTTTTTTCAAAAAACAATGATATATCTGGAACACTAGGTGGCGCTGTGATCAAACTTCTCATGTCGCTTTAGGACATGGTGTCGGTCATCCCTACCAAATTGTGTGCTGATATGTCAAATAGTTTAAAAGATATTGCAATTTATGACAAAATTCAAAATGGCGGACACGTGGTACATCCCATCATGGCAAAATCGATATCCACGGATTCGGCATGATGCAAGGAATCCATAGATACCACAATTATGATTTTCTGACAAACTGTTCAAAAGTTATTGGTCAAAATAGCAATTGTTCATATCTCATGACCCATAGGTGGCACTATTCCCAACTTTGCATTGGAACCTCAACACATGCTTCTGATGAAGTGTACCAATTTTCGTTTTGATTGATCAAACTTTGGCCGAGATACAGCCTCTTAGCCTATTTTGGGTGGACCTCATTAAGTTTGCGACATTATAACTTTTTTTTTTCCAGTATAACAAAAAAATCGGGAACAGTACTTTTATGCGGCTCAGTCTGAAGATCATTTGAGTGCATGTTTGGAGAAAATTGGACAAAATTTGAAGGAGGAGTAGCGAAAAAACTGAATACTGTATATTTCAAAATGGCCACTACTGTAATGGGCGGGGTCTTAATGTAAGGTATTGGTTGTGATCAGCATGATGAGTGGAATCAGGTGTACTAAGTTTCATGTCTCTAGATCAAAGGGTTCAAAAGTTATAACCATTTCAATGTTGAATTTTTGAACTGGTGGTGGCGCTATAGAGTTGGTCCTAGAGGGTCAAAAATTGGTCCAATTACTATTCATTAGCATCACTACAAGTGTGCCAAATTTCATCATTTTCCTATGTACGGTTCATAGGGCTGCCATAGACTTCCATTTGCGGAAGAAGAAGAAGAAGAATAATAATAATAAGAAAACTAACAGATACAATAGGTGCCTCTGCACCTTCGGTGCTTGGCCCCTAATAATAATAAGAAAACCAACAGATACAATAGGTGCCTCTGCACCTTCGGTGCTTGGCCCCTAAATATAGCTGCAAGCAGCAACACGGGGCCAAGCCCTGCAAGGCACCGCAATTACAGCAAAGTTCAAAGGCTTGGCACCGCAATTAGAACAAGTACAGCAAAGTTCAAAGGCTTGGCACTGCAAGCAGAACAAGTACTGCAAACTGCAAGTACAGCAAGCTGCAAGTACAGCAAGCACAGCAAGTACAGCAAGCACAGCAAGTACAGCAAGTACAACAAGTACAGCAAGTACAGCAAGCACAGCAAGTACAGCAAGTACTGCAAGTACAGCAGCGCATCAAGCATTTAAGCACCAATAGCAGTGCAGAGCCGCAAGAAAAAACAGCACAAATTGAATATACATGTAAATGAAGCACAGCGAGCATTTAAGCACCAACAGCAGAGCCGGAAGGAATTGAAATGACAACTTTATACACAATTTTTAAAGCCGTCCCACATGGGACTCGAACCCACGACCAGAATGGTTCGGGATTCGAGATGCATGGTTTAGCTGATTGCGCCACTCAGAGGACGTGAAGTTCAAAACAGCAGAGGAGAGGGTTCAGTGTGAGAATGAGTGACATGTTAACCAGATTAGCATGCTAAGCTAGCTTAATGCTAATTTAGCTTATGACGTGGTACATCCAATCCTGGCAAAATAGATATCATCGGATTCGACATGATGCAAGGAATCGATAGACACCAATTTTATGATTTTGTGACAAACTGTTCACAAGTTACAGCCTCTGAACCAATGTTGGGTCGACCTTGTTAAATTTGCGACATCATAACTTTTTTTTTCCAGTGTAGCAAAAAAATCGGGAACAGTACTTCTGTGCGGCTCGGTCCGAAGATCATTTGAGCAAATTTTGGACAATTTTGGACAAATTTTGAAGGAGGAGTAGCGAAAAAACTGTTTTACATTCGCTTCAATATGGCGGCCAGTCACATTGTTGGAAAATAGCATATGAGATATCGTTGAAATCGGCATAAGCCAAGGAATATATTGACATAAAGAAATCAAATTTCAAGCAATGATAGCAAAAGTTATAAGCGTTTTTTCAAAAAACAATGATATCTCTGGAACACTAGGTGGCGCTGTGATCAAACTTCTCATGTACCTTCGGGCCATGCTAATGATGATCCATACCAAATGTGGTGAGGAAATTTCAAATAGTTTAAAAGATATTGCAAATTATGACAAAATTCAAAATGGCGGACACGTGGTACATCCCATCATGGCAAAATCGATATCCACGGATTCGGCATGATGCAAGGAATCCATAGATACCACAATTATGATTTTCTGACAAAGTGTTCAAAAGTTATTGGCCAAAATAGCAATTTTCCATATCTCATGAACCGTAGGTGGCGCTGTTCCCGACTTTGGCAGGGTCCCTCAGATCATGCTTCCGATTAAGCGTATCAATTTTCGTATCGATTGATCAAACTTTGGCCGAGATACAGCCTCTTAGCCAATTTTGGGTGGACCTCGTTAAGTTTGCGACAGTACAACTTTTTTTTTCCAGTATAACAAAAAAATCGGGAACAGTACTTTTATGCGGCTCAGTCCGAAGATCATTTGAGCACATGGTTGGAGAAAATTGGACAAAATTTGAAGGAGGAGTAGCGAAATAACTGAATACTGTACATTTCAAAATGGCCACTACTGT